GTAGGCCAATATGCCCATAAGGTTTCTTCTTCTTGGTGAATGTTAAGTTTTGTTTGTTTAGTTAGAAGTGGTCATAGTCAAAAGAATTAAAAAGTTTTTAAACCCCAAACCATAAAACATATTGAAATTCAACTGGAGTTTGAAGATTCCAAATAGTCAATTAAATGAGGAAATAATTAAGAAAAATAAACTCATGGAGTCTCTGTTTTCCTTGAAATAACCCTTTTATATTTTAAAAAGCTAAAACACACTTAGAGTTACATTACTCAAACTGGTAATAGCTATTTCCACACGTAATTTGCATATTCATAAGAATCCACGTGAGTTCTCTTATCTTCTCCCTCCAAACATAAAACATGTCAAAATTAAATGGTTCACAGTCAATTTACCACGTTATAAAAGTCTTATTTCCTAATTGCTTACAGTTGTCAAATCATGTCCTAAAATATATAATGCTCGTGTCCAAAGAAAGAAAAGCTAACAAAGACTTCCAATCAACCAATACAAGATTAACCTTCATTTACCTAATAATATTTGTATTCAGTGGGTATTTCAAAGTTTCGTTTCTTATTTTTATTACTTATTGAGCGCAATATTAGGTTTGGTCTCTGTAATATTTGTTGTCTTTGTTACAAAATCTTTGATCACGTCATCACATGGGTATTTGTTTATTTTATGTATCAGATACATTTATTAGTAGTATAAAGCTTTGTTAGTTTGAGTTCTTGAGTTCAGACAAGAAGGTTTATGTCATAATGAATTCATTTGGAAACTACTTATAAATTTAAATATCTCATGTTCCTACTTTTTTTTTGGGGAAAATCGCATAAAAAACCTTCAAGGTGGCAACCACTTACACTTTAAACCCTGAGAGTATTTTACAAGCACTTTAAACACTCAAGTTGGCAAATTTAGCATATTAAACCTCCAATCTGGCTTACTTGTATATCAAGTTAAAAAAGTGACCAGTACTGTTCAAAAGCGATGACGTGTCGGTTTTTTTAAAAAAAATAAATATAAAAATACAGGAAATATAAAAATTCATTAAAAATTCATTAAAATTGAAAAAAAATCAGAAAAAATTCAAAAAAATCAGAAAAATCATAAACATTAAAAAATCGCAAAATAATTAAAATATTTTATTAATAAAATATTAAAAATAAGAAAAACTTAAAAGAAATTATAAGAAAATCTCAAAAATAAGAAAATTCAAAAAAATTTAAATAAAAAATGAAATTTAAATAAAATTAATATAAGAATAATAGATAAAATAAATATAATTTCAGGAATAAATAATTTTATTTGTTTTATAAAAAAATGAGAAAACACTATATTTTTTTTTTAAAAAAAGAATCATTATCTTCAAATTATTCTCGTGAACCAAATCAAAGCAAACAAATTAAATTCCAAGTCATTTTGTTCTCATTTTGTTGCTTATTAGTCAAAGTTTTCTGGATTTTATAACTAGATTAATATAGGGTATTGTAATAACTGCTAAAAGATTTGGATTTTAACTTGTTTCCTTTGATTTGGTTCACAAGAATCATTTGATGGTATATATCATATACATTCAATTATACGATGACATATATATAATATATAATAATGACACGAAAAACAAATAACAATATAATTTAAAAAAAAACTTATGCAGGTGAAAGTCTAGGTGCTAAAAGACTTGGAATTTATTTTTTTGCTTTGATTTGGTTCACGAGAATCATTTGAAGATAATTAGATTATTGGGAAAATCGCATAAAAATCCTTGGAATTTAATTTGTTTGCTTTGATTTGGTTCACGAGAATCATTTGAAAATAATGATTCTTTTTTAAAAAAAATAGTGTTTTCTCGTTTTTTTATAAAACAAATAAAATTATTTATTCTTGAAATTATATTTATTTTATCTATTATTCTTATATTAATTTTATTTAAATTTCATTTTTGTTTTATTTAAAATTTTTTTAATTTTCTTATTTTGGGATTTTTTTATAATTTCTTTTAAGTTTTTCTTATTTTTAATATTTTATTAATAAAATATTTTAATTATTTTGTGATTTTTTAATGTTTATGATTTTTCTGATTTTTTTGAATTTTTCTGATTTTTTTAATTTTTAAAGAATTTTTAATGATTTTTAATGAATTTTTATATTTTCTGTATTTTTATATTTATTTTTTCGTAATTTTTTTTTTTTTTTAAAAAAAAACCGACACGTCATCGCTTTTGAACAGTACCGGTCACATTTTTAACTTGATGTACAAGTAAGCCAGATTGGAGGTTTAATATGCTAAATTTGCCAACTTGAGTGTTTAAAGTGCTTGTAAAATACTCTCAGAGTTTAAAGTGTAAGTGGTTGCCACCTTGAAGGTTTTTTATGCGATTTTCCCTTTTTTTTTGTTCAACTCATGTTACTACTTTTCACCATTTAATATTAGATAATACATTTTGTTAATGCCACATGTAATTTACTCCTCCCAAAGAAAGCAAAAATAAAACTGACTTCAAATTATGTTTACATATACATAAAAGACAAATAGTAAGGATATACTTAATTTGTTTCATATCTCCAAGAAACAAAAAGATATATAATCACTTAATCAGTAAAGCATTGGGTTGCTTCAACATCTTTGGTGTAGATAATTTATGCAATTACTCTTTCTTTTAAATTATTTTTTGGTTTTTGTCTAGAGAGGGAAAAGTTAGGGCTTTTCTCATGTGTGTCTCTCCTAATGAGCAGAGAAGAAAGTGGGGGGGGGGGGGTTTACGGGTCCCCTAAATTAGGTCATCAGAAAATAAAAATAAAATTCATAATCTTCTGTCTGCCTTCCGTGATTCCAAAAAATGGCCAAATTGGACGGCCACGATTCCTCGTACTTAGTTAAATGCTTAAGATGTGTATGTATATGTGTAGAATACTAATATAATGATATTCCAAATAAGGAAACTATGGAACGTTGTGATGTTACTCGGACAAGTTATTTGGTTACATCACAATTAAATTAACCCGATGGTTAACAATTTAAAACTATCAAATGTCTACTGGATTTACCAATATGTAATGGCTTTTTGACACGTGTCACATGTCTGAGACCCTAGACTTGTTCAGACCAATCTTATCACTCTAATTTTCCCAGCATGGCATTTGCTGCCAATCACTAGCTCTACAAGACTACAACTTTAAGGTTTCAGAGGAACAAGGGTTCCTATTATTTTTATAAACTCAATATTTATTTGTTCCAACTTTGAATGCTTTACACCAAAAAAATTTAAATGCTTATCAACATTTTAGTCGTTTTCCTACATCTATTTTTTTCCTTCACATCATGTGTCACGTTATGTTTCATTGTTCTGACTCATAAGAACCGATGTTTGCTTTTAAGGTTTCGTATCAAAATCACAATTAACTGAGCAAGTGGGCGATTTGACCCTTACAGTTATTTATTCTTATTTTTTTAAATGCTGATTTAAGGGTAAATTGTATTGGTAATACTTCTGATTAACTTGTAAATTCCTTTAACAAATCTGTTGCAGTGTAAAAGGGACAATCGAGAGGTACAAGAAGGCAATATCGGATAATACTAACACCGGAACGGTGGCAGAAATTAACGCACAGGTAACTTAAGACTACCCATTTTATTTCAAGTTGTTGTTTTCCCAAAAATTAGTTATTACTTCGAAATTTATAATAGATTTTCTACTTTTTCTTTTCAAGTATTATCAACAAGAATCGGCCAAATTGCGTCAACAGATTATCAGCATACAAAACTCGAACAGGTTAATATTTGCCTAAATGACTTGAAACTAATTTACTGAATCATATGCTATTAACTATTTGATATGTTAATACTTTTGAAAACTTAATCAGGCAATTGATGGGTGAGACAATAGGGTCAATGTCTCCCAAAGAGCTTAGGAATTTGGAAGGCAGGTTAGACAGAAGTATTAATCGAATCCGATCCAAGAAGGTAACTCTATTTAGTAAATGTTCTCAAAAATCAAATTGTTTCCTACAAAAACTATTTATTTATATATTCTAAACTTATAAATTACTCATTTTGTTTGAATACTTTCACAGAATGAACTCTTATTCGCCGAGATTGACTACATGCATAAAAGAGTAAGAAGACATATATAGTATATCTAGTTTTATTTCATTGTTAATTTCTTTTGATGATAATTTGGCTCATGTGTAATGAAAGTCTGTGCAGGAAGTTGATTTGCATAGTGACAACCAGCTTCTTCGTACTAAGGTAGATTCATACTGTGTTGATTTGTTTTAACATCCTAAAGTTTGTTTCTACATATATAACACCAAAAAATTATTTACATAATCAAATAGTAAACAAATATCTATGATATATGTGGTATATAGATAGCTGAAAATGAGAGGAACAATCCAAGTATGAATCTAACGCCAGGAGGATACGAGCAGATTATGCAACCGTCTCAAACGCAATCTCAACCGTTTAATTCACAGAACTATTTCCAAGTCGCTGCGTTGCAACCTAACAATCACCATTACTCATCCGCAGGTCGCCAAGACCAAACCGCTCTTCAGTTAGTGTAAGATAACAAATATTGGGGTTGGCTGTTTTTCTGAAACTTCCAGCACTAATTTGATCGAAATAATAAATTCGTTTCATTTGTTTTGCAGGTAATATTGGCTGAAGCCTGAGTGAATAATAACCAGGATTGGGTTAAACAATGTGCAATATAAGGCTAATGAAATTTTATATATAAATGTGTAATCTATAGATTTATTTCACGAATGTTTGTGCCAGTGATATCTACACTTATTTAAACTGCTTATGGTGATGTGAAATTATATTTTGAAGTGCTTAATTTGCGGAAAAGACAAACCATGTGTATAAGTTTATTATTAGCTGGAAAAGACGCTCCATAACAGTAAAAAAACGCTCTTTATGCGATCTTAAAGGCGATTAGGGTTTTCCCTAGTGCCGCTGTCGGAGCCGCCTCTCGCTCTCCGGTGAGAATTGTTCAGTCATGTCTCTTGCTATTTCTTCACCGATGCTTCCTCCTCCTCTTGTGCCTCCAGATCTGTTATTTCTTCACCCCTCTTCAGATCTCGAGTCAGTAGCCCCTGCTTATGCTCGCTGCCGCTCTCCGTCAGCTCCGTCACCTCCGGATCTCTCTCTTCGTCCTCTGGTTTCTCCTGCTGGAGCAGAGGCAGGATGTTCTGTTCAACCTCCGGTGGTTATTCCTGCAAAGTCTGATCTTTGGGTTGAGAAAGTTAAATCCAGTTTTCAGCCCCTTTCGAAGGTTGCTTCGCCTTCTATCTCAGATGATGGTGTTCCGTCCGTTAAAGCACCAGATTCTATTTCTTTGGCTTCCTCAGATCTATGGAAAGACCACCTGGTTGCCTATTTTCATGGAACTCCTCCTTCTGCCGCGAAAGTCTTTTCGGATTTAAACACAATTTGGGGGAAAAATGGTCGGATTTCGGTCAAACATCATTCAAAGTTCAGCTATCTCATCTACATTCCTTGCGTTTTAACAAGGAAATGGGCTTTAGATGTCGGTTTCTGGCACTCAGGCAATTGTTCGTTTACTGTTGCGTCTTGGTACCCTTCAATCAATTTATCCTCCATGAAGTTGGTTTTCGCTCCTGTGTGGGTGGTTTTCCGTAAAGTTCCACGTGAGCTGTGGTCTTTGGTTGGTTTCAGTACGATAGCGTCTGCAGTGGGTTTTCCTGTTCATTCTAAATTTGCAGATTTGAAAGCTTATTCTAATGGAGTTATCAAGCTGCGTGTTGTTGTTGAACTCGCTAAGCCGCGTCCGTCAACTGTTAGGATCACAGATAAGGATGGAAACTCGGTTCTTGTCTCAACAGAGTTCCCCAAGATGCCTCCGAAATGCTCAGGGTGTGGGGAGTTTGGTCATTTTAGAATGAGATGCCCTTCTCCGCCGATCAGTCCTTCATTTGTCCAAGGAGGCTTAGAAAATCATCATGTGGCTGTTTCTCCTGGTTTAAATGGTGCTACTAAGCGTCTTCCCGAGCCTGCTTTAACCGAAACTTCTGATAGTCGATCGATCTCTGCTGGTTCTTCAAAAATTCCTCCCCAGGATATAGAGCGTGTCTCGGTCATTGATAGTGTCTTCGAAAAATCTCCGCCTCCTCCATTAGCTCGGTCTAGAAGTCTTCCGGCATACCATCACTCACGCTCGGAAAATTCGTCGTCCTTAGCGTGGGTTAAAGTTTCGAAGCGGTCTGAACCAAAAGCAAAGGATCCTCCTTCTCCTCAACGTTCACCGGTTCTTGTCACAAACTCCAAATTTGATGAAGAGGAGGAAGTGATTTCTACTGCTCAGCGCATTTTGAGAGCTCGTTTGAACGCTGTAGGTACCTCTATTCCGGATACTTCAACCGCCATGTCAAGGAAGCATGCTCGAAGAAAGATAAGAGAGCAGCTCTATATCCTCTCCACCAGCGATACTGGGGATGGTGCTTCTTTTTCTACTGCGGGTTCAGCAAAAAATAATAATTTTGGTTTAGCTTCTGATGAACCGGTGCTCTCGCGCCGTGATCATTCTCAGGAGGCTTAGTGCTCAGCACCCCCCCCCCCTTTTTGTCTCTCAGTGAAGAGTTTCTTTTGGAATGTAAGAGGCCTTAATGGCTATAGAAGGCATAATACGGTTATAAATTGGCTTAGGTCAAACCGTCCACTTTTTGGTGGGTTTTTGGAAACACATGTGCAACAGTCTAATCTTCAGGAAATAATGAGAAGCGTTGTGCCTGAGTGGAGGTTTGAAGGTAATTATTCGCAGGAAGCTCAGAATGGACGTATCGTGGTTGCTTGGGATCCCTCCATTTCAGTGATGTTTTACTTCTCTTCTCCGCAGTTGGTGCTCTGCAGTATTATGAATCCTCAGACTAGTGACTCTTATACCATTTGTAACACCCCCGAACCGTCCTAGGTCGGACTAACCCAAGACGACCCGGAAGCGTCACAAGTTGGCGAGCAAAGCAATTGATTCGACCAAAACCATAGAACAGATCCAAAGTCTCGACCAAATCAACCACTTAACCCGCCCCTCTCGACCTCGGCCTAAGATCGGCCAACCCGTACCTTGGTCGAGAGTTGTGTAAGTCCGGACTAAACTAAATATCAGCGTACAGCGGGGATTTTAATATACAAACATAAGTTTTATTTATTTTACAAAGTTCAGGAACTCGACTTGTCCTCAGAGTGCGAAAGCATAAAAACATAAGCGAAAACACGTAAAAGGGTACCCATAAACAGTAAAACCAAAGCAAACAGAAACATCTTCGTCCTTGCAAACAACAACACGAAACTACGCCTGGCACCGTCCTCTGACCCCGCAACGCCCTTCCCTCTAAAGTTACCTGCATAGTAAAGGGGGAGTGAGTAATCATAAATTACTCAGCGAGCTCCCAAAACAAAANTAAAACACCAAACGTTTCGGACGGCCTATCTCGTCCAGGAATCCCTTACTGGAGTTGCCCTAATCCCCTCCCCACTCCACGACCACAAACACACAAGTCACATGGCCTGGACCTCTCCCGGAAATCGGCTACTCCCGATCACACACTCATCCGGGGCCACGGCGTCCCGTAGCGTTCGTCCATGGGAGCTACCCACTTTCCGTTGACGAACCATGGAGGATAGGCTAACATCCAACACACCACACACTATTCCGTTGCGTCTCACACAAAGACACATGTGAGGGCTACCTCCCAACACACACGCATCCGGACCTAGTGCAGATGGGTAACAACCCATCCCCACGCTAGCACTCGTGCTAGTCTAGACCAAAGGCTCTAACCAACCAATCACACACAACGTGAGGGAGCTCCTCCTCTAACCAACACGCAGCCTGGTCTAGACCCGCACCCACACAAAACACACTAAGCTAGCGAGACACACAAAAGACTCTACCCGGAACAAGACCCTCACCGGTCTAACACAACACACGGGTAAGAGAGAGTCTCACCACACCTAGCTAGCGAGACACACCAAAGACTCTACCCGAAACAAGACCCTCACCGGTCTAACACACACACGGGAAGAGAGAGTCTCACTAACTCTAATACCACACGCATACAACACAAATCACAACGTATGCATGAAACTATCATCTTAACAACACCATGCATGCTAAACAATGACAACACACCCGACAAGAGGGAGACACTCTCAACCTCTTGCGGTTCAACACATGCACACAAACATCTAGATAATCTTTCTACACCATAAGCAAAATCAACTCCACAATATCTAGATGATCACAACACAATGCATGCATGTACTACCAACCTAACCACGGTTATAGCACACCATTCTATCAACCTAACTCACAATGCAATTAAGCATAAACACACAACACATGCATGGGATTTACCAACTCCCACACACACACACACACATGGAACCGCAAAGCTAGTTCCGGCTCGGGAACCTCACGGCCCAAGCTCTCCACCTGCAACCACACACGGTTAGTCACACACAACACTCCCACACCCTATGGGAACCCACCTAAGGTCTTGAGAAGCCGCACAGACCTCCAAAAGCCAAAGACCTAAGGTTAATACCAAAACCGGTTAAAATGGGGCTCATGGCTAAAAGGGGAGAAACGGGTTCTAACCATAACCAAAACTCTTACCACCCTTCCTATCACACCACAGCACCTCCTAGGTTAAGGAGAGCACATGCAAAGAGCCTCCACACTCACCTCACACACTTAGGGAAATTTTATGGGTTTTGGTCACTTTCTCTCTCTATAAAGAACTAAGGTCACGACTAAGAGAGAAAGGTTCAGGGGTGTTAAACTTTCACAAATGAAGCCTAAGGGTCCTATTTATAGCCAAAATTCCGTGTGTGAACACAAGAGCCATGGTGGGACACTTGTTACCATTTTAAGCTCCAAATTCATGCATGCATGCAAATGCATTAATCCAAGTCCAAAACGTCCCATCTTCTAGAATATTTACCACCTTTCTGAGCAAGTTCAGTGTACAAAGTATCAACACGAAATTCGTTTCCTAGCTCAGGTTGCCACCACATCACTTTTTGGCTCCAAAAGGACTCCTTTGGTGAACACATACCAAATCTACTCCCTAGCCTTGTTTCCCTAGCTTTCCTAGACCTCCATGTGATGCTTATGAACCAATAAGCACTCGCTTTCGTGCCTGACATGTTCCCATACTCCCTTCCCCATATTTTTAAAATTGGCAAAATGGAGGTTTTTGGGCTTCATGGGTCTTTAACCTCCAAACTGGAAATCCTTGGGGTTTAGCCCACTCCAGCACACTCCCTGGGCCCCTTGTGGACCTTAGATGAAAAGGTTGGAAGGAATTTGTCGAATTCCTTTGCCCAAAACTCCCATGGCCACTTAAGGCCCATTATGGGTCCAAAAGTGTCTTCATGATTCCTCTCTCTCTAAATGTGTTTTGGCCATGATTCTTCCACCATTAGACTCCTTAATTTATCCTCTTTCCATTCCAGGTTTGAAGAAAATTGGTCCCCTACACGTGGCATGCTCCTATTGGGCCACCCAGACGCCTATGTGGACCAATAAGGCACTTTCTCTCTCTTCGGACTTTTGTTGACTTAACTTCTGAGTTGACCTTTCTCCAAAACTTCAAGAATTACTCCAAATACTCTATTGAACTCATAAACCATGATGGCACAACTTGATTTGGCTTCTTTGGCTCTTAGCTTGCTCATTTTGACCATATCGGCTAATCCGGCCTTCCTCCGGACCACCCTGGTACCAACNCTTGATTTGGCTTCTTTGGCTCTTAGCTTGCTCATTTTGACCATATCGGCTAATCCGGCCTTCCTCCGGACCACCCTGGTACCAACCTTGTTTTGTCTTGACCAAAAACCTCAAAATGTCTTTGGATAGCTTCCATAATACTCCTAGGCTGATACTTGATCGATTCCCATGATGTTGGATTGATAATACACTTTTCCGACCTTTACCCGCGGCTAGATTCTCGCCTAGACCATCTCTGAACCTCTATCGACCATCTTCATTTTAGCTCGGTCCAACTCAATCTAACTCGACCAAATGTCTTAGAATATCATATAATGATGTTTAGGATCAATCCTTACTTGATTTGAAGACTTTTAAAATTCACCGTGCTCGATGTGAGGGGTAAAACTCACTTCCTGATTTTAAGTTAGGTTTAGATTGGGGAAAAGACAATCGTGGGCTGAATCCTGTAAGAACTTGAAGAAAGAATGCGATTGTATTGATGTTTTTGGTAAAGAGATGATTACAGATGATTGATAAGATGATTCTGATGATTACAAAGAATGAGAACGTTTTGTGAACTAAACATGTGTAAATGGTAGAATGAATGAATCGAGAGCCAGAGAGACTTTTCTCTGATCTCCTCCTTCCCCTTAAATAGCTCTCAGCCACGTTTGAAGGATCCTAACCAGCCTCCGAGATTTGCTCCGTGAATTGGGGGATTCTCAACAGTCTCCTTTTGACCGGGTCCTGCGCAACCAGCCTGAGCTACTCCCGTTAGCTCCTTGTAAATGAGGTCCGGAGCTCTCCTGTTAGCTCCTTGTAAATGAGGTCCGGAGCTCTCCTCCGTGACCTGTTTATAAATGAGGTCCGGAGCTCTCCTCCGTGACCTGTTTTGTTGATGTTCCTTCCTTAGCAAAAACAGCCTCCGGCTTCTTTTTGATTCTTTTCTCAAAAGATTAATTGCCAATGGGCTTACAGTGGCCCATAGTCAACTCTTATCGTTCTAGCCCATTAGTCTCAGCTAGCGGGCCATATTTGGGCCCAACAGTTGCCCCCAGCTTTCGAGATGAGACCTCTTTTCTCGGAAGCTAAAGCTCAACCGCCTGACCTCTATCTCTTTGTTGAGATAGTGACTATGTCTTCGTGTTCTCAAGACTTCTGCCCAATGGGCTTTCTTTTTATCTTTGTTAAGACTTGTGGCCCGAGGAGGCCTTTAAACCCTTGCTTTGTTAGGATCTTCGATCTTCGTCGATGTTTTGATGATTTCCTTAATACGGACTCGATCGTCTAAGTAGAAGTTTTTACTTCTTTGAACGAAGGATTCTGGGTCCTGTTAGTAACAGTTCCCGTAGTCGTTAGACATGAGGTCTAGAAAACTTTCGGGTGAAGGTCGGGGAGTCTGTTGATAACAGGTCCTGTGGCCTTTTAGCGAGAGGTCCCGAGAACGGGTTTCTGGGACCTGAATTTACTTGGGATATCTTTTAGATCTCGAACGTTGCTAAGGGTTTTGCGACCTTAGGTTGAGGCTTTTTGAGAACCTGAATTTTTTTTTTTTTTTTTTTTTTGCGAAGGATTTTAAGACCTTGAGTTTGGTTAAGGTTTTAAGACCTTTGATTGAGGTTCTTTGGGAACCTGGATTTGTTTTCGAAGGATTTTAAGACCTTGAGTTTTGATGAGGGTTTTAAGACCTTTGATTGAGGTTCTTTGGGAACCTGAATTCGTTTTCGAAGGATTTTAAGACCTTGAGTTTTGATGAGGGTTTTAAGACCTTTGATTGAGGTTCTTTGGGAACCTGAATTCGTTTTCGAAGGATTTTAAGACCT